TAAATATACGCTGAGAGAAATTTCATAATAAAACAAAATTCTTTTCAATTTCGATTTTATATTTAGAAACGATTCTACGAAATGTCCTTAACCTTTTGAAAGTTTATACTAATATGAAAACATTTTCATTTTAATTACTTTGTTTATACTGAATTAAAATACTTCTCCTCATTAATTAAAAATTTGTTGAAACAGTTTATAATTATATTTTCGGAATAAAGCCATTGTTTACTCGAAATACTATCTTAATTATGAGTCGAGTTTGAGAAGAAAACCATAAAATATAACCGAATAAATATACAAAATTCGTTATTTGAAGAACGAAATATTGTAATTTACAGTTGTTAGATGGAATCTCAGTTCGTTAAGAGATAAACATAATTAGTTGTTTTCCCGTTTCAAAGCACTGAATAGAAAATTTCAATGCGCATCGATCTGAAAATAAGAAAATAAGAAAGATATCTGCAAATAAATTTTCATGTCGATTTTAGAAAATGACGTATGGCAATAACAATTATCATTTGGCAATTACAAAGATGGTCCTGGTGTTTCTCAACTGGCATTTTAATACGAGATATTATGTGACGTTGCACGATATATTGCAGATTTTAGTATCATGAACTTGTGTATTCAACATTTACTTGATATATACCAGACATTAATAAAGAAAATTTTAATCATCACTTTAACAAAATTTACATTACATTAGACTGATGAGATCTACGTTTAAAATCGAATTTAAAAAATTGAGTTTAACATGGTAAAAACAATTGTCGATCCGGTTGAATCTCTAAATAAATTTTGTACTACGGATAACGATCTAAATTTTACATTTGAATAACTAATTATTCAAATGTAACAGACCTAATTGAATTGAACTAGATATAAAATAGTCTAGGAGACTATGAATATAAAATAAACGAAACGTTTCCTAATTTTCTTAGTTTTCTCTGAGCAATTTCAAGTAATCAACTGTAAATGCAATTAATTAGTCGAAGATTCGTTGAAAATAATTTATTAGAAAATTGGACAGATCGAACGCACATCAATTTGTATAAAAACAGTTTAATTATAGAAAGTATTTATTACTATTAAATATTGAAAATTAATAATGAACAATATTATATATAAAAACGATCATTGCCTTTTCAGAAAATTATTTACTGTTAATTCCTATTTGCTTTTTATATAAAGTTTATACTGTGTTAATTTAGTATAAAGTTAGAATTATCAGAGAATATTTTAGTTTCTAATAACAGAGATTTATAAAAAAATTCGTAGGATATCTTGTATTGAAAGTTGGTAGTTGTTTCAATCTTTACCTTGTCATATATCCTTTAGTAATAAATTGATTCAATGACATTTTTGATTTGACGTGAAACCTATTAAAATATATGACATACACTAAAACTCTTCTGCTTTACTACATAAAAACAAACCGAAATTTCATTCAATTCTTCACTTTAGTAGAAATTCCAAAGTTTTCTTTGTATTTGAATACTACTTTCATTTAAGCGTTTCATCAACAAATCGTTTGGTTCAAATGTATTTCCATTTTCTATAGTTTCAAATAAATTCGAAGATACTTTTGACAGTATGCACTGTAATGTACGTATCGTCCTGAAACTGAACTGAACACTTGATTAACAGATATACATGGAAAAAGCACACTTCATCGTATTGCATCTCTATTCCCTATTCACTTGTCATTTCTAATATCAAACAGTCATAACTTGAATTGAAACTTTTCTGACACATCTTTAATGTCTAATTTCTGAATAAAAAATGTCTTAATTTATAAACAATTAAGTAGTTTAAGTAATAGTTAATTAAAATACTTTATTTTCTTTTCATAAATATAATTATGCCATTTTTTCGGTTAGAATTGACTACTCAAGAGAAACTAAAGCTACAAATATAATTCTAGTTTTAGTGTTTTTTCGTGCAGGTAAACAACAAAGATTTAAGAAACTGAGGCATTTGACCGAATTAAGTACAAGCAACAAAATAAAATCAAACTGTTCACGAATACAGATTGGAAATGACTTTTGGAGGCAAGCAGTAGATGGGGAACAAGTGACAAGCGCGAATGACGTGGTAGTTGCTACGTGTTCAAAAATAGTTTTTTTTTAAAAAGTCAGGCAAAAAAAGTTAGAATGATTACACTCTAATTTGAACTCAGTCATATTATTGTAACTATAAAAACAGTTAGTGCTCTGTACAGACCTGTGCGCAGCATTTTTTAAAAAATTGGAATTTAAAACATAGCACTTTATTTTTTCATAACGTAGTTTATTAATTTTTAAAATGTGTAACACAACACTTAGAAGGAATTGAGCGAATACAAAATAATTATAAGTTATATACAATATAGTAAATAAAATAAAACAAAATTTAAATTAAACATTTAAATTTTATTTAATTTTTAAATTTTGCCCAAATGTTACACCTCCAAATCACCCCGTGTGTATTCGTTCGTTCTGTGGGTACTCACTTCCAAATGATAAATTTCACGACTCTCGAAGATTAAAGGATTTTTTAAAAAGATTTCTTCTTAGTAAATAATTCAAGACACTATTTTTAAAATACTGCAAGTTAAGTGAAACAGTAGTTAATGAATTTAAGCTCTTTATTAGTTTAACTTTTGTTTACTAATCATATTTTATTCTCAATTTTCAAAACAGTATATCGAGAAGAATTATAAGATTCATTTTTCATTTTATAAACACACTACTTGAAAATAAATATGTTCTGAATGAAATATTAACAACTACTCATCAATTATACATGTTTATTATAAATAACAAACTGTAAAAAAATATAAATAATCGTATAAAATAATTCTGTAATTAATTTTTTATGAGAATATTGTTCTCCAATTTTTGTTCTTTATTCTTTATAAAAAATAAAAATACATGGCGATGTCCAATAAGCAAGATAAGACACCTCCAGATTAACAATGAAAAAACATTCAATTAAAATGTTTATTTTGATACTTTTTAAGCAGAATTATTTCTTTTTGGCAAAAATTATTTTCAGCTTTTAGAATAAAAAAATAAGTACGTTACAATCAAATGTTACTGACATAATCCAGATTAGTTGTACAGATTTATGAAATTTTACACTACAAAATAATATATTTATCTTATTTGCTCTTATGCACTTTATTGATATTAATATCTTATAAAAATCTAAGATTTAGTCGAAAAGAAGATGGAAGTTTATTCAATGTTTATATAGGATATATTTACATTTCTACAGAATATAATGCATGTTTATTGATATTTATGTATGTATGGCTTATACACAATTCCACTGACCCAAGGCCATTTCATAAGAATTTACATTTTGTGAAAAACCAATTTCTTTATTTTGGTACCTTCGTCAGCAATAAGTTTATTTATTATCAGAAAACATTTCTACTTTAAATAAATTCGAAAAAATATAGAAAAACACAAAAACAAGCAAACAATAAAAAAACACTTCGGAAATCAATACTGTTGAATGTAATGTTACGATATTAAATATAATAATTTGTAAAATATGGCGAACAGTTAAAGTTATTTAAAAAATATAAATTATTTAATATTTATTAAAATATTTAAAAATTGAATTGAAAATTTGATTTATTTGAATAATAAATCAATATTATTTATCTATTCATTTTGCTATTTGCTTAGAATTTTTCATACAACAAAAGTTAATTAAAATAAAATTAATGATGTTTTAGTATAACGTCTTTATTCATTTGTCTTTCTATTCAACGTGTGAATAAATATATATTTATAATTACTTCTAATCTAAATTATTCCTTTAACATTGTATATATAACAGAATGTTTAAATAGATTTTTTCTTTGAATTTTAGACATAAAAATTAGTATTAATGAATATTATATTAATTTATCAATTAATTAATTTGATATTTAATAAATAAGTAAAACTCGAATAATTAAGCATTTTAAAGTGTAATATAATATAATTTTTAAATAATAGTAAAGAAAAATAAATAAAATTTAATTTGCCATAACAAAAATGATTTTCATAAAATTATTTTTCCATTAAATTCAATGGAATCAAATCAGAATTCGATTAAAATAATAATGAATATTTAGATGTAGAATCAAATTAAATATTCTTATTAAAGTTTTGGGTTAACAAAAAAAGCATAATTCGATATATGATAAATTCGATTTATATTTGTACTGAATTAAATGTCAATTATATTTATTTATAAGAATTTTCTTTATTAATTTAGTAATTCTCGAAAGTAATCTGGCAAAAAGGTATATGGGCAAATAAAGGTAAGAATGCATCTCAGGGATAGAACAATTGATTGTCTTCGAAAGAAGAAAATTAAATATACTTTGTGATCAACCAGAGTGAACATCACCTCCGAGAGAAGAACAAAAGATAAAGTTGCATCTCACCAATGATAGGATTGTTGCTATGGTTACCAGTAACTACAACTAAAATGACGGTCGAAACTGTAGAATGTTACGAAACAAGCTCTTATTCTCTCGACACATTTCTTAATTATTTAAAAATATATAACGAAGATCCACCTGTAATTTGCCATCTTCGTTCTTCATGGAAGAAATTTGCAATTTATGCGTATTTATAAGCGTTTTTTTAACATAAATTATTAAGAGTTTAACTAATTTAAGAAATTTTAAAGGAATTTGTCAGTGTAAACCATCGAATCTTTATGATTTAACGATAGTACTGTACGTTCGGAAACTATCGCGATACTGATCTATGAAACAACATAAAGCATATAACACAGACTCGAATATATTTTAATATTATTATTTAGAATAATTAAAATAACATTTAAAAAAAGAAAGATAAAGAGCGAGTGGCTAACTTTAACAGAATAATTAGTTTAAGAACGAGTGGAGCAGCGACGATAACTATTCGTAGCTAACTGGTCAAAGAGCGACGCCATGCGGACATTTTCGACGTTTATCGGCGCGTGCGCAGTCGGAGGCTGTGGCTGGATCCGAAAGGCTCGCGAGAAATCTGCAGCCTGTCGGAAACAATGTCGTCGCTCGAGGCTCGTACGGCCAAAGTCCATGGAGTTTTCATATGACCGACCGATTTCACATCTTCTAATATCATTATGAAGGAAGTTGTTCTGACATGGAAGCTGGTCAGCTTCACTTGCATACTGGCGTTGGTAAGACCCGTTCCTGAAAAGTTACCCATAGGTAAGTACACTATGTAAAGACACCTGATAGCGCCACTTCAACTATGTAATTACATAATTTAATTCGGCGATTTTTTTCCCTTATTTACGCCAATTCCGCATTATTTTCGTTTTCTTTTCGCATTTTCCTTTATTTTTCCATATTTATATTTTGTTTCTAGCAACTGCAACAAACTTGTTAAATACGCGAAAAGAAACTTTATTTTAAATACAATAAGCGATCAGTCGAGATATTCATAAGAAAATTAATTTTTTATCAATAATTTTAATTCATTTATAAATATATTTTAAGCGCAAATTATTCGTGTTTATAATATTTTTTTGCGCCAAAAAATATATTTTAATTTTAAAAATGGTAAAAAAAATATAGAAAAAAATTATTTTTAGAATTATTTTTTTATTAAGAGTAATAAAATAGAAATATATTATTTTTAAAATAAAAATAAAATATAGGCTTTAAGCTTACGTTGTTAATTATAGAAGATGCAACAAGTATTTTAAAAATGAAAAATTTTTATGTTAAAAATGTTTAGAGATTCGATTACTTTTAATCTAATTTCGAACGATTAGGAAAGATCTTGAAGTCGTTTATTTTATATTTTATGAGCGTATATCGAGGTAACTATTTTTCTTGCAAATTATGCAGTTTCTTCTAGAAATTATTAAGTTATTTTTATAACGAAATAAGAATTAATTAATTACGTAATTAGTGCGAAAGTTTTCTCATTATATTTAAATATACTTGAAGGAAAATAAAGGAAACTTTTATAGAATATTTTATACATTTTATACTTACCTCTAATTCAAAGTATGGATTATATAATTATTATTCAATAGTTAATCATTGTGCTGGAGAATAATTTACGTGTTAATAAACTTATGCGAGCATCCTCGCATCTAATGATATTAATAGGTTTCCTGTTATAGAGATATATTAAGAGCAATCTCGTCTATCAATTTATTATCAGAGAAGTTTGCAAACCGATTCATTTCCTGTTTCATTTATTATTTATTTTCGTGGAGAATATATTTTTCTAAGTCATTTACTTTTAACATCTTCATTTCCTCATTATCATGTAGAAAATTACTTTCTACCTAATGTAAAGTATATTTATGTAAGAGATGAGAGACGTTTCCTTATAATCTCTGTTATACTAAGAGTTAGCAATTTCATATTTAGTTTATAGTACTCGTAAAATTAATATAGATTTCATAAAATATACTTTACGTAAAAGGAGATTATCTAGAAGATAATCCAACATAAAGTTTTAATTATATTTATATATTACGATAGTAAATGCTAGTTAAGCCATGTAAAGTTTCTGGGAATGTTATTTGTGTTTAGGAGTTTGAGATTTTTGTGAATATTCAGCGACACTTGTTTGATTTTTATTTATTTCTCCTGCACGAAACTATTTTAGAGTGTAAATTAATAAAGATTTTGTAATAAATATTACATATATACTCATATATAGCCTATATAATATTTTTTAATGTAAACCTACACATTAAACAGATATTTTAAACAATATAAAATTACAGTATATCTCTTGTAAATTTTAATACATGCATATTAACTATTCAAAACTATAATTGAAGTGTTTTTATTTATTTTTTAAATCAATAATTCATGAAAATTATGTCATTTTTACGATATATTAATGGATAATTTGATATATTCAATTGTATGACGTCTTTATACATTTTTTGTCTTTTTCCTGTTTCTCCTAGGAGCCATCTTCACACCGGGAACACAGTCCTTACATACAGCTTTCGAGTATGCCATCTACCTTCATAATACCAGTGATAGCCAAGCGAGATTTAAAGTAAAAGCTGTTATTGATGTCCTTGATTTGGACGATCCCTTCAAGATTTCCAGAACACGTAAGCTATTTAATGTATCCTTCATCGAATATTAGTCGATAAGTGATACATGAAAAATATGTTTTACTTTCGTTCTTGAAAATCGTACTTTATAAATAATATACCCTTAAGGTATTGCATAGTTTGAAAAGTAAACTTTTTCAAATATTTACTCGAATTTTATACTACTTTTTCAATAGAATTCAAAAGAGATAGTAAAGTTTCCTTCAAAAGATTCCTTTCTACATTCTGGTTATCTTATGTTATATAACAAATCTCGAACAGCAATAAAATACGTCCAGATCCACAGACGTAAATTTCATGTTAAGCTAAGCCACCATTAGAATTTCGTCGATATATATTTATTTTATTTACTTATAAATATAACGTTTTATACAGAATTTTAAATATATGGTATAATAATACTTTATATCAAGATTGATTTCAATATTAAAATCATTTAAAACCATTAAATTTTATAAAATGACAGGAGAACATACGAAGTTATACAATCTCTAAAAAAAGAGGAAATGACTCTACAACAAAAGTAATTCCTCCTTTTCTTGGAATGCACACTGTTGCATGTTTCGGTACTATCATTTGTAAAATTTAATGCCTTGTGGGGCTCCTATGTCTTCACAGCTTCAAATACAAAAGAGAAGTTCAATATATTCTAAAAGAAAATAGAATAACAACATTCTAGCATTATCTCACATGACTACAAATTACTTTGTGTTAAGTCAATTCTTTATTAATGAATGTTAAGTCAGTAATTAATTTGTATACGATTAGTTTATATAATATTTATTAAATGGTAAATTACAACTATGAAAATTATGGAAATAATCCTGTTTGTTTAATTAGCTGTAAAATTTATTTTGATTTTACACTGATTTTTGAAGGATGTGTATACATTATTATGTACAGTACTGTACAGTCTTTAAATCTGACTATATATTATACATAATATAAAAAATTAATTATTATTTAATTTTAAAGTAATATGTAATTTTATAAAAGATTTGGAATGTTGGATTTCCGCAGATTAATTTTAATTCAAACAAATTTCTTCTATAAAATTATATTTATTCTAATAAAACGAACAGAATTTTACAACATGGCTTCTTATTAATTCATTTAAACGTACTCGTATCGATTATTTTAACTTGTTTTTAAAATTTTGTCAACTTGCGTAAGCAAAAAATAAAAAATAAAAAAAAATTATAGTGGAATATTATTATGGAGGAAAGAAATTAGTTTTTAGTACGGCGTTCGGCGTATAAAATAAAAGAGGATAAAGTAAAAATGCTTCAAAAAGTGTTGTATCTTTATAGTTGTACAAGCAAAGAGTAACTATCATATTAAATTTTTATGATTCCGGGAAGTGTTTCTGACCCGAACTGCATTGCGGAGAACCTCTTCTTCTGTAAACAACTTTAGGACTGAATCGAGAGATGTAAATTTAGTGGTACCGCTGCCTCGGGCCTTTCCTGTGTTCACAACTGGGTAAGCAGAAAAGGTCACCACATATAAAATTGCTAGATATATTAGATTCTTGGTGTTTTCCTCGAAAAATATAAAATCTTGGATTAACTAAAAAGTCATTAAATTCCTTTCGGGAATTGCATAACAATTTTTTATTTTTTTACATTTTCGTAAAATCTATTGTTGTAACTGTAATGTTTGTAAAATTTCTCTTCTAAATCCTGCTTTGCTTTGATGCTTTGAAGTATTAAATTAACTTTATTTATTCGTGTAGAAGACTGAAGCATTGTTTAATAGTCTTAGGCTATAATAAGATAATATTGATTAAAATGATCACATTGTTAATGATTTTATAATCCTTGCTTTCTAAACTGTATTATTGAGTAAGAATTGTAAAATTCATTATATAATTTTAATATGTTTAAAATAAGCTTTTATTGGTCATGTTTTTTCGAAATTGGGATGGAAGATGATGGGATGACCTCGCTCCACCATACACATTATTACAGTACATTTACACATATATATCATGAGTAAATTCTACATTTAGTTGTTTATAGGATTTCGGGGTAGGGAGAATGGTGGAAATGGTCCACCCTAATACATCATTAAAATACATCGTCATCTGACTTATGTCTCTGCAAAGTTTCAGCTTCCGATCTTAATTAGAAGGGGATAAAATTTCAGTACGTTACAAAACAAATTAAATAAAAGCGTTTAAAAATTTCGATGTTAATTGATTAATTATCATTTATCAATCAACATCGATATCATAATAATTGAGTATCATGTGTAACACTACAAATAGTCAAAATTAACAGGATTACTTGTTGAATACTTAAATATCTATCCGAAATATTTTTATATATTAATTTTTAAAAAAATGTTTTATATCATTTTCATGGTCCGTTACGTTCACCTTCCTGTTATAGTAGTAATAATATTAACCGATATAGCTTTGATACGGAAGATGATCTGTAGCAGACATTAACAGAATAGCAATAACATTCAGTAAACGAATGTTATTATCGAGTCTTTCCAATCATGTCTAAGCATCCAGATGGATCTACGAGTAAGGGAATGTCATAAATACTATCCGAAACCGAAACCGATTATCAGAATGGGATGGGTTTCTTTAGTGATACACTCTTGTCACGGAAGCAATCTTCTCCACGTCATCGAGTTCCACCCGATTCTTCATAAACAGATTTTAAAGTTAAATCTATCGAGGTGTAAGCCAAAGTGCTATATATTTTTTTTTTCAAATTTATTTAATCATAAAACATATTCTAAAGTGTTATTTACTTTATGACGAATACTGAACATAAAGTACGCTGTTTTATAGATCGTCTGATAAAGAAAACAAGGAGTTATATTAAAAGAACACTTGCTTAATGATAATATGCAATAAATAAATAAATAAATACCCTATATCATTAGTTTTTTTAGATGTTCTTGGCTATTACCATTCTGTCTGCCGTGTTTCTTATCTTTAGTCAATACAACAGAGCTGTAGGTTGTTATACATTGGTCGTCCATCAGTATGGGTTGACATTAACGCAACTCGCGATATTCCAGCAGTATTGAGGGAGTAATTTTATTGTCCTGGTATATAAATAAAGTTCCTAGTGACAAAAAAACTTGGCTAAGAAAGAAAGAGAGAGAGTAAATTAATGGGAATCCCATCGAAATATATTGGAGTACGGAATCGTCTTTTTACATCATTACAAATAAAAGTAAGGATATTTATTCAAGTTTCTTAATGACTCTTCTTATAAACAAATTTCTTTTCGAATTATTAAAATGATTTAGCCTGTTACTTCTCACATAAAATGCGTAGAAAAAAGCATACAGATGGTAGTGACGCGAGGGAAGGGAATGGTAGAAGACACTGCCTTTCGTGCATCATCCATCAAATAATGCCAGAAACAGAGGAGTGAGAAGCTCCTCAAAGATGAACAAAAATAAAAAAAAAATAAAAAAATAAGAAATTGCTTCAGTTTTGTTTTCTTTATATGGCTAAAAGTTGTAATATTGCTCGATATTGAAGATATTATTAGGATATAATAGATTATATGACACGAACTATTATGTTGAAATCTCACTGTGACACTTTCTATACGAAACGAGGTTATTACGACTTATTTAAGAGTAATAAATCATTTTGAAGAGAACTACTTAGACAGTAATTAATTACGGACTTTTTAAATAAACATCGATTCGAATAGAATTAACTTTATAGCTGGGATAATACATATATTTATAAGGAAGAGTAACTTGAGTAATTTTATATGTTCTATCCACTCAGGCTTTAATTATAATGCCGGAATGCTAATTCTTCCACACATTCCTACGACAAAATTTAAAATAGTTATTAAGGAACCAATTTAGTAGAGTTGTAAAATGACATAGTAGTAAAATAAATACCCCCTCTTTACATAAGCAGCTTCATTTTCCAAGATATTCTATTAACATTTGTACTTAGATACGATGTTTAACGTCCGAATTTCTTGTTTGGATGATGTACAGTATGTTCAAATCGATAGATAGTGTTTATATGTAATTCTTTATCAATATATTTAAATTTCATTAAAAGTTTTTACATTTTAATGATTAAAAATAAAAAAGACGTCAAGGAAAATAATATAATTTAAATTTTACATACTTTACTAAGATATTTTTAGATAATTTGATTGTTTCTTTTGCTATTTTTCGATAAAAATGTTTTAATTTATACAAATTTTATTAAAATTAAAGTTGTACAATTTCTACTTACTCTACACCACTATTTCCCAAACTTTTTGAGCTACCACCCTTCTTTTAAGTGCATATATTTCTTACATTTTTTAAAATTTTTGTTTGTTTTGTCTTCCAACACCCCTACTGCCCCCTTGCTTTCCAGTCCCCTTGAGTCTTCTTCCAGCTTCAAGGGAAAGGTAGCGCATACTTAGGAAATCATTGCTCTATAAGAAACTTAGTAATTTGCAAGAAGTACAAATGTAGAATTCTTTCGAATTTTTTCGCATCATTTATTCAATTCTTTCGATAAAAACAATTTGCAATAAAAATTCATTTTAAATATTTTCGTGAAAATAAATTTATTTGAAAATATCATTTTATTTTAAAATAGGCATTTTGAAATCAAATTTTACAAGTAGAATTCGATAAATTTAATACATTTTCCTCGGGTTGAAACATATATCTATAGGATTATTGTATATTCAAACTGTAAAATTAAATTAAGTCAACGTTTCTTCTGTAATTTATAAATTATATTTAGCACGTTTTCCTTACAAATTTTTATCTCATTATTTAATTATTTCAAAAAAGAAAATTTAAAATTATGTAATTTAATATTTTTGTAGCAAACAGAAACTTCGAATGTTAGAAATTACTTCCAAAATGCAAAGGGGGAAAATATTACCGAAATAATAATATTTTAACAATTATTTTGATTATTTTCATATAAATATGTAGCGCGAGTTAAGATCTTGGAATATTTTTATTAAGAATTATTTGGTTTGTAAAAGATTTCC